AACGGGAGAGGTCCGGCTTCTTCTGATGCGTTGTCCACATTCTGCTCGTCCCAGTCTGCTTCGTCCGCTGCTGAGGCGAAGGCTCGGTCACCACGAAAGCCACCTGTGGGATCTTGATTTTCGTGCAAGTTGGCAAGGTACGTCTGAAGCGTGAGTCGTTCGTAGAAGATTACGTCACGTGCTGCTACTGTTTCCTTGGAGTGGACGTCGAAGATTTTCCACGCGTTGTAGTTCTTTTCAATACCGAGGTGTAGTCCCCACTGTGCGTGTTGTGAAAATCTTCCCGCTCGTGCTTCTGGGGGTCGGTACTGTACCATGCACCCGAAAACTCGTAACATTTTTGTGCTGCCCTGTTTCCCTGTCCACAGCAGATGCGGTGACGCGTTGTTCGGAAGCGACGATGACGACAGCAAGTTGTGCAGCATGACAGCGTGGTCCATTGCTGCAGGCCACTGGTGGTTGGGTAGCTGCATGCCACGTAACAGTTTGCGCATGCTGTTCTGCAGAGTCCTATTCATTCTTTCTGCCACACCTTGCTGCTGATGGGCGTAGGGAAGAGAGAGGAGCTGCTTGATTCCCCTTTCCGCCAGGTACTGCTTGAATCGCTGAGAGGTGTATTCTCCCCCTCCGTCTGACTGGAAGCTTTTCAGCTGTGCGCCCGACTCTCTCTCTGCTACTGGTAGCCAGGCAGCGAATGCTGCGAGTGCCATGTCGCGGCTGGGTAGGTTTAGGTGCCAGACGTAACGGGTGGCGGCGTCGATGAAGGTGATCGTGTAGTTGAATGTAACTTGTCCAGGTTCCCGATTGAACAGGATATCGCTGTACACCTTCTCGAGTGGTGTGTACGCGGGTGCGCTCGGGTTGTGATGAGGAATGAACGCCCGGTGAGGATTGTTGTTGTTGTTGTAGCGTCGCTGGGTGTGGAACGCGAACTCTGGTGCTGACGTCTTCTTTTTATGTCGTTCTTCTTGCAGGTCCATGTCTTGCTGCTCGGCATGGATTTCGGCGCAAAGCACTGCTTCGGAGATTCTCCCGTGAGCTCGGAGGATGGCCTTTGTGGCGCGCCATTGAGGACCGAGGCCGCCGATGATGACTGTCACGAAGGCGTCTTCAGGGATCGACCCTCCGCATCGAAGAAGCTTGTCGCGCAATTCACGACATCGACTGATATACGCCAGTCCTTTCTCCCCTGGTTTCATTTCAACTGTTGTTAGTTGCGCCATTAACCGACTTTGAGTTACACTGTCTGTTGCTTGATACAGGCTCTTCAGGTGGTTGTACGCGAGCTCCGCGGAGTTACCGTAACCTCGGTAGGTCCTTATGTTCTGCTGTTGAGTCGGGGTGATATTTCTCAGTAGGATCGTGTACGCCATCATTGACTGATAGGTGTACTGCTGCTTCTCGTACTGTGTGCCGTTTGTTGGATATGGCAGAGTCCCGTCGAAGAACCCGAGTATCTGCGCGCCTTCCATCATCAGCTCAAACTCGAACGACCAGGTGAAAAAATCCTTTCCATCGAAAGGTCTTGACGTCTGCATCTTCAGAACGTGTGCGAACTGCGACTAAACTTGCAGTGCGTCAAGTTGTTTTTCTTGTCCAGTTGAGGGCTGTGGTTGTGGCATGAAGCTGATGGATCCGCGCTCGTACGGAGCAAAGGTAGGCTGTTGTTGCTGGTTTCCCCGTGCATATGATGAGCCGTCGAGACTCATGGGTGTTGCTCCGTTGTTGTTGCTGTTGTGTGATTGCGCAGGTCCTCCTTGCTGATGCTGCTCGTAGAAGGACATTAAGGAGAAGAATTTCTCCATCATGCTTGGATCGAAGCCCACGCCTTGGTTTGCGGGTGTTTCAGTAGACCCAGCTGCCGGTCTCGTTGTTGTCCCTTCCTCTGTCTGTCGGCCAGAAGCAGGAGGTGGAGTAGGAGTAGTACCGGGAGAGCCGTTGGAGGAGCTCCTCTCCTTTCTAGTAGACATATCTCTTGGTGTATTAAGTATTGAGGAGAAATAATTTAACTCTAACCTGCTCTCATACCATGTTGGGCTGAGTGCCCTTTAGGATCTTTGGTAGAGTTAAAGTCTGAGTAAAGTGATGTAGTAGCGGAAGCGTTTTGAGTAAAGTCTTTGAACCACCTTGCGCTAGTATGTGAGGGCAAAGTAAGTTGATTAAAGCAAAGAGATACAAGGTTATATATGAATACAGGGAATATGAAGAGATACAGTTGTAACTATTTTACTGTTGCTGTTGCGGTTCGATACAGTGACGACTCGGGCAACTGCTTTGTAACGAGTCAGTTGTGTGTCCTTGCTGTCGCACTGCATTTGTCAGGTCAAAGGTCGCTGACCTTTGACTTTCGCGTAACCTCCAGCGGTTACTTCAACCTCCGAGGGTTGACTCGCTGGTGCTTCGATATGCGATGCTTTGCTTGTGTCTTGGTGTTTCGACACGACAAAGGCGCTTAAAGCCCAGCCCCCGAATTACCGAAACGCCTTCACAAACTGGGCCCAGTTTGTGTCTCGCCCCTTCTGGTTTCGAGGAAGAGAGGTTTAGGAGAGGTTTTCGAACCTCAACAGTCTGCTTTCCCAAACCTATTTTCCCGCGTTGACTTCCGTTGAGTAATTCGGGTGTTGCCCTTTAAGATTGTTTGTTCCCAACAACAATTACGGCTGGGTGTTTTATCCGGGAGAATACGGTATGCTGGCAGCGAGGCTCGGGCTAGTCCCGAAGCGTAGGCTGATACGGCCGGGCCAGCAGTGCAAGGTTTGGCAAAACATTGCGCGCGAAGCTGGCGAAGTCCCGTTAGCAGTAACGGGCGAACAACGGCTGCTGCTGTACGCGATGTAGTCGGGCTCCATTGCTTCGCGCCTCGGAAAAACCGCCGATTTTCGTCGCGGTTGTCAGAGGTGTCGTCTCTGACACCAGCCTTCCCTCCCTCCCAGCCGACAATGCCTTGGCAATTCAACCACAACTTGTTTCTTCCTCGTTGCCATGCCAGCCACTTTCTTCCAGAGATGGCTCTGTTTCTTCCTCTTACCAAATTCTCTTGGCTGAGTCCCATTGTCGGCATACCTATCAATAGTCCCGCCTGTCGATGGTAGAGTTTAATCCGCTTGAGGCGACGCCAGTTAAAAGGTACGATTTCTATTCCTCTTTTACGTATGAAGAGTTAATAGGCGTCGCGACTCGTCTATGACTGATCCATTTTCCTGTTACTGATTGCGGTCCAACGACGGAGATACAATATTTCTACGTTGTTCTGAGAAGCAGGGAGATTAGCGACTTTAGTTCGCGGTTCTTAGCCCCGAAGGATGGATTCACATCCTACTTACGCGCTGGTTCCAAGTCGCAGGACGTATCACGACCTTCATACACGGTTCTAAGTTGCAGATTAGGATAGGGTTTTCAGAATCCGCTCTCAGGACATTCGATGAAGTCGTAACCTTTAGAGTGCGGTCCTGGACCACCATAGCGATCTTAACACGCGGTCCTGTTGGTCACTCCCTGTACGTTTTCGTCGACGCCGTCCTACCATGCTGGTCACTTCCGTCTGTGCATCCGGCCTTTCATTCAGCCATCCCTTTCGCCCTAGCAGTCGTCGGCTTTCGCTGCCGTTTCCCGAGTTCCTTCATTTGGCGAGTGTCGCTGCAGTTTGGCGGTCGATTCTCGTTTTCGGTCGCCAAGTTAGCTCCTTTCGTTCGCCATATTTCGTTCCCCTACTGTTTGCCGGCTATCGATGCCGTTCGCCAAGTTTCGCAGCCTTTCGAAGCGATGATCCGTTCGCCAAGTTTCGCAGCCTTTCGAAGCGCTGATACCGTTCGCCGAGTGTCGCAGTCTTTCACAGCGCTGCTACCGTTCGCCCAGTGTCGCAGCCTTTAGCAGCGCTGCTACCGTTCGCCGAGTGTCGCAGCCATTCGCAGCGCTGCTCCGTTCACCGAGTCTTCGCGGAGTTTCTCCTGGCGCTCGCCGACTTTCGCTGACGTGCGCCGAGTTGCTCTTCCATTTCCTACGTAGCGCCGGTATCTCCGTCTTTCGCTGCCGTTCGCGAGCTTTTCTTCGATGAAAAACGCCAAGGATATAGAAGGTCGGCGGAACGCAGAGCAATGCGACAGAGCGGTCGACCTGAGAGCAGCTGTGTGTGTGCGAGCAGTGACGCAGATCTACTCCAGCAGCAGCGGGTAAACGCGGATTGCGAGGGCAAATGGGTGATATCGGCAGCAGCAGCGCAGAAACGCGGTTACGAAACACCAGCAGCGCGGATTCGAAAGGGTGCGTGCGCGTGGAAAGCATTTGGGGGGGTCGAACAATCTAGGTCGCCGCGCTGCAAGTCTTAGAGTCAATTTCTGTTTCTTCCGAGTCCGTTTCCTCTGCTGGTTCTGACGCTCTCCTCTGTACTTCTCTCTGTGCTGTTGCGAGGAGAAACGCGTATTGCGAGGAGACATGCGGATTGCGCGGAGAACCTCGCATTAGCGGAGAAAACGCGGGTTGCGCGGAGATAACGCGGATTGCTCGGAGAAACACGGATTGCGCGGAGAAACGCGGATTGCGCGGAGAAACGCGGATTGCGCGGAGAAACGCGGATTGAGCAAACAGTGGGTGGTATCGGCTGTGTCATTGTGCAGCATGGTAAGTTCTGGAACGAATCTGCTTGGGGGGTCGAACAGTCTAGGTCGCCGCGCGGCAAGTCTAAGAACCTTTTTTTTATTCTTCGAGTCCGTTTCTTCTGCTGCTTCTGACGCTCTCTCCTCTGTGCTTGTTCCTGTGCTGTGTTCGGTGCTGTGGTTGGGGTGCCTCCTTGACTGAGGCCCATGCACGCCGCATGGCGTGGCAGGAAGATGCTTGGCGTGGCCCAATCCGCCTGCTGACGCGCCTTCTGAACTGTCTCAGAATCCGGCTCACCATCGCAGTACGGTAAGCTGTTGGGCGGATGAACATAGGGGGGTAAAGCAGTCTACGTCGCCGTGCGGCAAGTCGTAGAATCCAGTTTGCTTATCCCGAGTCCACTTTCTATGCTGCTTCTGACTCTCGCTCCCCTGTGCTTGTGCCTGTGTTGTGTGTGTCCTGGTTCCGGTGGCAACTTTCCTGAGGCCCATCCACGCGTCGAACACTCCTGCCTGCCAAAGGGTGGTGCGTCCCTGGGAGGGGCTTTGCCAGAGAGGATCCGCCTTTCTAGACGTCTCGAGAACTGCCTCACCACTGCAGAACGGTAAGTCGTTGGGCGGATTTATCCGGGGGGGGCAGTAGTCGAGGTCGCCGCGTGGCAAGTCATAGAATCGAGCTTTTTTTGTTTTGAGTCTTTTTCTCTCCTGCTTCTGACAAGATCTTCTCTGTGCGTGTTGCTGTGTTGCATTCGCTGCTCTGGATCGGGGCTCTCCCTGACTGAGACCCGGGGACCTGCTGGCAGTGCGTGTGCGTCGAGTGAGGAGTGGGGGTCCGCCGTCTGAGCCGTCTCAGGCACTGGCGCACCGCGGCAGTATGGCAAGTGATTCGGGCTGATTTACTGGGGGGGTAAAGCAGTCTAGGTCGCCGCGCGGCAAGTCTTAGAACTGGGTCTAGCTTTCTCTCAATCCGTTTGCTCTGCTTCTTCTGACGCTCTCTCCTCTATGCTTCCTCCTGTGCTGTGTGCGCTGCTGTGATTCCGATGCCTCCTTGACTGAGCCCATGCACGCCTCAACAGCCCTGCCAAGGCGTGACCGTGCGCCGCATGCCAGAGAGCGGCTCTGGCAGAAACCATCCGCCAGCTGGGGCGTCTCAGAATCTGTCCCATGGGCGCAGCAACACTCGTGCCTGCCACAAGTGGTGGTTCGTCTCACTGAGGGACTCTGCGAGGGAGGAGTGATTATCCGCCTTCTGACCCGCTGCAGAATCTGCCTCACCACCGCAGTATGGTAAGAGCCGTGCAGCAAGTCATATAACCGGGCTTTGCTTCTTTCGAGTCTGCTTTCTCTGCTGCTTCTGACGCTCTCTTCTCTGTGCTCCCTCCTCTGTTGTGCTGTTGTGCCCCCTTGACTGAAGAACGTGCACGCCTCAACACTCTGCCTTCCAAGGCGTGGTGCGTCTCGTCTAAAGGAGGTGCTCTGCCAATAACGACCTGACTGCGGAGGGTCTCAGAATCTGCCCCAGGGTGGTGCGTCCCGGGGAGGGGCTCTGCGAGTGAGGATCCGTCGTTTGAGCTCACCACGGCAGTATGGTAAGTCGCTGGGCGGATGTATCACGGGGGGCAGAACATTCTAGGTCGCCGCGCGGCAAGTCATAGAATTGGGCTTTGGTTCTTCTGAGTCCGCTTGTTTTGCTGCTTCTCACACTCTCTCCTCTGAGCTTGCTCCTGTGTTGTGTGGGCTGCTCTGGTTCTGGTGCATCCTTGACTGAGGCCTATGTACGCCCCAACAGTCCTGCCTGCCATGGGTGGCTCGGCGAGTGGGGATCCGCCTCAGAAACCGGCTCACCATCGCAGTATGGTAAGTCCAAGATTCGGTTTGTGCTTCTTCCAAGTCCTCGTTCTGTGCTGCTTCTGACGCTCCCCCCCTATGCGTCTTGCTGTGGTGTGTTGCACGAGACAGCAAGCCTTCCCCCCACAAGCAGGTGCATCCCAGGGAGGGGAGGGGTACTACGAGTGATTGATACTCACTCTTCTCTTCGAGCCACAAAGGCAATGCGGTACGTTGTTGGCCGGGTCTATCGGGGGGCCAGAGCAGTCTAGGTCGCCATGCGGCAAGTCTTAGACCTGAACTTGATTTCTTTTAAGTCCCATTTTGCTGCTAATTCTCATGTTCTCTCCTCTGTGCTTGCTGTGTGCTTTTCCCGTGTGCTTGTTCTTCTGCTTCGGCTGTGTTCTCTGCTCTGGGTCCGTGGACTCGACTCTGCTCTGCTCTGCTCGGATCGGCTCTGCTCTGCTCTGCTCGGCTGGCGCATGGACTTGACTCGACAGTGGGATCGATGGGTGGAGGCAGGCGAGGGATCAGCAGCGGGAATGCAGGCGCTACAAGGAAGCATACTGGTTCCCTGTGACACTGTGCGGTACGGTAAGCTGTCTACCGAATTTATCTGGGGGGGTCAAGGAGTCTAGGTCGCCGTGCGGCAAGACTTAGAATCGATTTGTGTTCCTTTCGAGTCCGTTTCCGCTGCTGCTGCTGACGCTCTCTCTTCTATGCTTGTCTCTGTGTTGTGTTTTCTGCTGCTCTGTGTTGGGGTGTCTCCCTGACTGAGACTCAGGCACGTGCTGACAGTGCGGCCCAGGAAGGTGCGGTGCGAGTGAGGAGTGAGGATCCGCCTTCTGAGGGGCGTCACAGGGAGTGAGTGGCTGGGCGGGTCTATCGGCGGGGTAAGGCAGTCTAGGTCGCCGTGCGACAAGTCTTAGATTCCATCCTTGTTCCTTCTGAGTCTGCTTTCATTGCTGCTTCTGACGCACTCTCCTTTGTGCTCGTTTCTGTGCTGTGTTTGCTGCTGTGGTTCCGGTGGTGCCTACTGCACTGAAAACCATGGGTCCTGCCAAGGTCTGGTGCTTCGCAGAGCGGTGCTGTGTGGGTGGGGATTCGTGCTTTGCTTTTCAGGGTTGGAGCTTCTCAGAGAGGAGCGGTGCGATTGAGGAGTTGTCTAAGGCACTGCCTCACCGTGGCAGCATGGTAAGCAATTGGGTTGGTTCATCAGGGGGGGAAACAGTAGTCTAGGTCGCCACGCGGCATGTCTTAGAGTCAAATCTTGTTTCTTTTGATTCGGTTTCCGCTGCTGCTTCTGACACACTCTTCTCTCCGTGCTTGTTGCTGTGTTGAATTGGCTGCTCTGGTTCAGGGGTTTCTCTGAATAAGAACTAGGGACGCCCTGACGTGCTTCCCAACAAGGTGCCGGGCATGAGAGAATCCGCCTTCCAAGGCATCTTCAAACGGCGTTTCGTTGCAACGGCAGAATGGTAAGTGGCTGACGGGTCTATAGGGGGGGTAAAGCAGTCTAGGTCACCGTGCGGCAAGTCTTAGACTCGCTTTCCGTTTCTACGGAGTCCGTTTTCGTTGCTGCCTCTGACGAACTCTCCTCTGCGTGCTTGTGCTCCGTTGTATTGTACTGGTTGCTCTGCTTTGGGGGTCTCCCTGTCCAAGACCCAGGGACGCGAGTGAGGAGTGCGTATAATTATCCGCCTTCTGAGTCATCTCAAAAACTGGCTTGCCACGGCAGCATGGTAAGTGGTTGGGCCAGTCTGTTGGGGGGGGGAATGGAGTCTAGGTCGCCGTGCGGCAAGTCTTAGAATCGAGCTTTTTTTTTTCAATCCGTTTCCGCTCCTACCTCTGACGCACTCTCCTGTGTGCGTGTTCCTGTGATGTGTGCTCTGGTGCGGTGCGGGTTCCTGGTGGGCTGAGAGGTGTGGAATGGGCGTCACAGGGACAGAAAGTGTTGCTCCCAGCGGTGGCGTGGCCTGGGTGAACATTGGCATGCAGAGTGAGGGAAGGATCGTTCGGAAGTGGACAGGGTGAGTGTTATCCCCCTCTCTGTACCTACCCATGCTTTCCATGTTGTGCTGTCAACTTTCTCCTTTGCCTTCCCGCCTGCCATGCTCCTCTCTGCTCGTTTATGTCATATTCCTACTTAATTTTGCCTTGTTTCCGCATGCTTCGTCCTCGTGGATTTTCCGGCTAGGGTCAGCTAGAGTATTCCTTCCTTATTTAAATTCCTCACGTTTTTTCAGTACTTCTCTTTGGCATTCGCCCTCCCCACTAACGTTTCCTCTCTGCAACGCCTTCTGCCCTTCACAGGTCAACGGAAGGCAGCAGGAGCAGCAGGATTAACAGTAGTGGTGATGTTTTGAGGGTCGGCTTAGTAGCCGCGGCACTAGAGGCGCACGTTCCTAATTAACTGCTAGCCCATGAGAGTGGTGGGAGGTGAATTAAGTTGAAGGGACTGTGAGGCCGGGTAAGGTATAAAGATGCTGAGGCATGGTAAGGTAAGGTATGGTACGGTACGGTGCGCCCGCCTCGACCAGGTCAAAAGAATCACCCGAGAAAGGAAGCAAGCACACCTACTTACGGTAGATGCCGGTAGATATACTCAAGCATGGAGACGGACACACATACGTGACAAAAAAAATACCCACCCAACCACGTGCTCCAACAAAGGATAGGTCCAGTAAACACACAAGCAGAGATCGTCCTTTAAACTGCCACTGGTGTCAATGTTAGTGTTGCTTATTCAGCCCAGCATCTAATACGGTAACAGTCCTACTGGTAAGCTAGCTGTGTACACCGCTTCACATCTGAATTCTGACACCCATGGCACAGGTAAGTTGCGTCGCAGGCTAGGCTGTGCAATCTGGTTTAACTCCTTCAGGAGCACAGCTTCCGTCGTTTTGACAAGTTCCCTATTTGCTCCAGCACATGGTTTCATCTGCTCTGTGTTTCAGGTGATGGTGCGCAGACTAGGATGTTACAGAAACCAATTGCACCCACAGACATGCTTCCCCTTTGGTACCACATCTCCTAGTACCCCCCATCCCACTTGCAGCAGAAATCATTCGGCAATACGGTATTCTCCTGGATAAAACACCCCCCCGTAATTGTACACCCCCGGGTAGCTAATACGGGGTGGGTGTTATATCCGACCCCATTAGTACTATACCCCCCTATTTGGGGTGATTCTCTTTAACACCCCCCTTTTCTTATAGATTCCTATTATAGCTGTTATCGAGTCCGATTCCTTACGGGACGATATCGCGAAAATCACTCCCTAGAAGAAATTTCGCATGTACTATCACTTAGAATCAGCCGAGATATCCCCCCTCCCACAATCTCGCTGTCGCCACGCTGGTGAATCCCAAAATCTCGCTGTCGCCACGCTGGCGAATCTTCCACTGCAAGTGGTCCAAGAGGTGAAGTGGCCCAAGTGGCCCACAATATCCTTGTACTCGGTTTTGCGGTACTGATCAGCAATCTAGAAGTGAAGTGACACCCCACATTTTGTTTCACATCATTTCTGCTTCATAAAAAATATACCGTACAATATAATAAGACCCAGGTATTATACAGGATTTTCCGTTGAGGAGACCCCCCCCATTTTTTTCCGGTGGTTTTCATAATACCCTAGGGTGTTTTATCCGGGAGAATACGGGTAAGTACTGCTATGATCTAGAACGCTACACCAAATACGGTAACAATTGCAGCGGTTGACACAACAACGTAACTCCTCGAACCCGTACATTCTCAATGCTGGTATGATTCACCCTCAGGATTCCTTTATGAGGTTGATGGGATCGCTCAAAACATAGTGAGGTAGCTCGTACTTGGCTCCTGCAGTAGGAAGCAATGCAGAGAGAAGAAAAGATAGAAAAGAAAGCAGAGGGGCATCATCAGACTGCAGAGAAGATAGTAGTGCAAGAGCCTGCCAGCCAGCACACTCACATCTCCTGGACTCCCAGTCACCCAGTACCTTGTCCCACCATCATGACGCACCTCTCTCATCGTAGCACACGGACATGTCTGGTACGTCGACCACCACCCCTGCTGACTCGAGTATCACTTGCGCCATACTTCTGTCCCCCTCTGTGGCCGCCTTCAACGCGTCCCATATCTCTGCCACACGCAGGCACGGGGCGGCCAAAGGGAGGTGGAAGAAACGGGTTGGGGAGAAAGAGGTGGAAGCTCAAAAAGAGGGGAAATGGCAGTAGTGTGTATGTTTCAATTTAGGCCGGAAGGGAGACGGTGGGAAAGGAAGAGGGGAGAGAGATAGTGATGAAGAAAGCTAGCGGGGCTAGAAGCAAGGAGGCAAGGATGAGAGGCGGACCTCGTTGGCCGCCGTAGTGCGAAGCTGTGTCCCAAAACTCCTCCCTCATGGCGCCTAAAATGAAAGCGAGACTTGGCAAGCAATATAGGTACGAGCTAGAGGCAAGGAAGAGGATGGAAATCAGACCTCGTTGGCCGCCGTAGTGCGGCGCTGTGTCCCAGAACTCCTCCCTCATGCGCGCCAGCTCTGCCTGTGACAGCGGCGTTGGGTGCTTCCATGCCTTGGGCTTCACCACCTTCTTGCCTGCGCACACGCGCATGGAGAAGCAGCCAGGAGGGAGTGTGATGCTGTGGGTTCACAAGGCGCAAATTCGACACTCTACCCCCTCTCGCATGGCGCAGCCCAGAACGTACCGTACGGCACAGGGAGGGCAGGGCGCGGGAAGGGGGACAGGAGAGCAGAGCCGGGGAAGGGGAATGGGAGAACCCAGTGGGGGAAGAGGAAGCAGAGATGGCATTCCAGAGCGCAATCCTACCTTTAGGGGAATCTTCCTTCGCTGTAGACCCCACGCAGCCCATGAGAATGCCGGATGCTATAAGCGCTTGTCGGAAGCTTCAAGAGGAGCCGAGCTAAGTGCCTATTATAGTCTTCTCAGAAAAACAGCGGATTTCGGAGTTGTAGCCGCGCAGCAATGCAGACAACCGGTTCACTACAACCGGCGCTACTCCCCGAGTTGAGCTACAACAGCGAGGACCGCCCAGGAAGGCTATCAGATATAGCGGCGCGTGATGTAGAGCGAATGTCGTCAATCAGGCGCACGAGTTAGACCATCGCGTTACCACCTTCTCTGTCGGCAGCGGAAATGCCGGGTAGAAATCATGGCGCCTCGAAACGACTCTTTCAAGCCAATCTTATGAGGACGCTGACCCGTTGCTGGCGAGATGACCTACTGGGTTGCCGTTTAGAGAGGGAAACGACGAAGCTGTACACTAAATTAAATAACTGCTGATGAGTTAACTCTACCTACTCCACCTCTCGCTAGGAGCTCCGTCTTTCGCGGCTCACTCTTCTCTTGCTGCCCGTCGTTCTCCGTTCGCCAATCGCTCGTCACTAGCTGCTCGTCGCTCGTCTCGCGTGTTGCTCGTCGCTCAGCGTTCGTCGTTGCTCAAGGATAGTCTCTGTCGTTGCTCGTCGCTCGTAGGTGGTCGCTCGTCGAAGCTCGTTAGTCGTGGATTATCGCCCAATACAATCTCGTGGATACTAAAATAAACCTGGTCAGAGCCTTCTGACAAGGATGTGCTCCACCCACTCTTGCGTTGTCTGCCTGCGCAAATCTGAAAATGCCTGCAACGAACAACACTTTCGGCGAGATGTTACTTTTCAGACTGTGATTCGCCCCCACGCTAGTATGCGACAGAATTTTCATGCGAGGGAGAGCGAATCGTGGTAACAAATTTGCCCGACCAACCAATTTGTTATCTGAATAAACCAGGCCAAAATCCTGCATCTTGCAACTCCACCAACCGACAGCACCTTACGGAACGGGAGTATGAGCAACCTAAACGTTGGATAACGTTTTTGACCACTTTAGAAACTTATTGAATCGCACCCAACTGCAGTTCCGACTTCAGATTGTGACGCCCCCTGCGACACTGGAGTTGGGAGGGAGTCCCTGAGGACGCGGTAAAAGTACTCGATCGGGGGGAGATCGATCCGGCCACCGTACTAAAACCCCGCGTTTTGCATACGAAAGGTACACAACCGTTTACAACCGCGCTAAAAAACGATCCTGAGGCGATCGAATCTCCACTTTTACCGCGTCCTGAGGACGCGTTGAAAGTAGACGATCGATCGTGGGTCACGATCGATGTGCGGATCTGTAACCCTATTTACTGTGCTGTAATCTTGCTACAGTACGTTTTTTTTTTTTTTTTTTTTTTTTTTTTTTTAATTCGTAGTGCAGTGAGTGAATGCGACTGATGCTCTCGAACCGAGCCTACCTGGCGCGATAAACTCTGATGCCTGCGACTTTCTGAAATTTCGCAGAGCCAATTAACGCTGTCGCCCAAATTGTCCACATTTGGCGAATTCTGTAAACATCACATCGCCAGGGTGGTTGCCCTGCTGGCTGCGAGTGTCGCAGGTGGGTATGGACGACGTATATTTTTTTGGTGCGAGTCGCATGCAGGGCAGTAATCTCGGCCCTGGAACATCCACCACAAAGCTCAGGTGCGATCGTTACAACGTATCGGTCTTCATGTTTCGCCAATCGATCTGCCCACTCGATTGTGGGGCTCGATTTATGCTCGCGATCCAGCGACATTTGCACTTTCAACGCGTCCTGATAAGTTATCAGTGTGCTCTACTCTAGTGGCCAGGGGGAGGGTCATTTGAATCAGCCTCGGGCAGTATTCTCGCCTAGGCATATCCCAAGGTTTCTGCGCGCGCTCCGAATACCCAGGTGCATGCTGCTATCGTAACATTCGACGCCGACGACTCCGACGCTCTGAAGTAACTGTTATAAGGAACCGAAAATGGGAGGTGACCTGACAATGTGAGTGACCACCTTTGACCCGATAGAGGCACGCCACCTAGTAGTAGATGCTGTTCGTATCTTCATGAACCAGAATCGAAGGACAGCTGTCAGCTGTAGTGCAGTCATGATTGACCTGGTTACCACGTCGAGGGAGTTTCGCTAACCGCAGAAGCGATGTCGTCGCGAGCGAGAGCTGGGAGCCGTCGATCCCAGTACTCTCCGTCGTCAAGATCAGCGGCTGCGAACGCATTCAGCACACGTGGCGGCAGCAGCGGAAGCGGCGGCGGCGGCGCAGCCGGCCTCCTAGATGGCATCGCGCGGGAGCGACCTCACGTGGTGATCGCGTCATGCGCGGTCTTCGTATTAATCGCCACTAGGTTCTTCTGGTTCCCCGCGCCTTATCTGGCCAGCAGACTAGTCGAGCCCGCGGGTTGCGACTTCGCCGTTTACCTAAACGCCCGAGGAGTGTTAGAAGGCCCTTGGTTAAACGATACCGCTGACTCTACCGATGCCGCCGTCGCCGCCGCTGCCGCCGCCGCGGGCCTCGATTTCACCTCAGGCTTGGGCGCAGGCACAGGGGTGCTGCTAGGGGACACCGGGCCTAGCAGGCTCGGCGGAGGCGCAGGTTCGGGAGGAAGCGGAGGCTCGGGAAGCGGGGAAGGTTCCAGCGGCGGGCAGAATGCAGGGCCGATGTTTTTTTCGGGCAGGAGGCTGCAAGCGATGGGGAAGATGGTGGCGGCTCGCGAGGGGGAGGACGACGGGAAGGTGCCGTGGGCCGTGGTGGTGGAGGGGTTGCTCACCACGGGCGCCTTCAGCACCAGTGACCCCGTGACACTTGCCTTCGCGCGATTGGCCGAGCGGTTCCTGGCGCCGTGGGCGAGAATAGAGGTGTGGCTGGGTCGGGTGGAGTGGGGAAGGGGGTTAAGGGAAGAGGGAAGAGGGGGGAGGGGAGATTGGGGTAAGAGGGGTTTTATTGTGGGGAGTGGGAAAGGGTGGAGGAGGGTGTGATTCTGAAGGGAGGGGTTATGGGTGTCTCTGTGAGAGGGAGAAACAAGCTCACTGACTGGAGGTCACTGACTGGAGGTCACTGACTGGAGGTCACTGACTGGAGGTCACTGACTGGAGCTCACTGACTGGAGCTCACTGACTGGAGCTCACTGACTGGAGCTCACTGACTGGAGCCCACTGACTGGAGGTCACTGACTGGAGGTCACTGACTGGAGCTCACTGACTGGAGCTCACTGACTGGAGCTCACTGACTGGAGCTCACTGACTGGAGCTCACTGACTGGAGGTCACTGACTGGAGGTCACTGACTGGAGGTCACTGACTGGAGGTCACTGACTGGAGGTCACTGACTGGAGGTCACTGACTGGAGGTCACTGACTGGAGGTCACTGACTGGAGGTCACTGACTGGAGGTCACTGACTGGAGGTCACTGACTGGAGGTCACTGACTGGAGGTCACTGACTGGAGGTCACTGACTGGAGGTCACTGACTGGAGGTCACTGACTGGAGGTCACTGACTGGAGGTCACTGACTGGAGCTCACTGACTGGAGCTCACTGACTGGAGCTCACTGACTGGAGGTCACTGACTGGAGGTCACTGACTGGAGGTCACTGACTGGAGGTCACTGACTGGAGCTCACTGACTGGAGCTCACTGACTGGAGCTCACTGACTGGAGCTCACTGACTGGAGCTCACTGACTGGAGCTCACTGACTGGAGCTCACTGACTGGAGCTCACTGACTGGAGCTCACTGACTGGAGCTCACTGACTGGAGCTCACTGACTGGAGCTCACTGACTGGAGCTCACTGACTGGAGCTCACTGACTGGAGCTCACTGACTGGAGCTCACTGACTGGAGCTCACTGACTGGAGCTCACTGACTGGAGCTCACTGACTGGAGCTCACTGACTGGAGCTCACTGACTGGAGGTCACTGACTGGAGCTCATTGACTGGAGCTCACTGACTGGAGCTCACTGACTGGAGGTCACTGACTGGAGGTCACTGACTGGAGGTCACTGACTGGAGGTCACTGACTGGAGCTCACTGACTGGAGCTCACTGACTGGAGCTCACTGACTGGAGGTCACTGACTGGAGCTCACTGACTGGAGGTCACTGACTGGAGGTCACTGACATGTATGGCTGCATGTATGGGTGGGTGCATGAGTGCATGGTTTTCCATATGTGCTCTGCGTTGCATGTCCACAGGGTATCACGGACGGGCTGGGAAAGACAGGCCTCATCAAGGCGGCAGCACTCAAAGCCATCGCCACCAACCCCAAGGTGCGGCGCGGTGCTATGCGCTGCCCTGCTCACTGCACTGAGTTTTGAGTCGACTCTGCACTTGCACGTTTGCCTGCACCTTGCGACTTGTAACTCGACTCGAACAAATCAAGGCGGCTGCACTCAAGGCAATCGCCACCAACCCCAAGGTGCGCTGCTCTGCAAGTCACCCTGCACCGTGCACTGAGTTTTGAGTCGTCTCTGCACTTGCACGCTAGCCTGCACCATGTCACCCGTCATTCGACTCAATGTTTCAAGGCGGCAGCACTGAAGGCCATCGCCACCAGCCCCAAGGTGGGCTGCTTTGAGTGATGCCATGCACTGTCTTTAACCCCAATGTGTATGTGTGCTACATCTACAAGTTACCCTACACCATGTGACTTTAGAGTCTACTCTAACATCTCAAGGCGGCTGCACTCAAGGCCATCGCCACCAACCCCAAGGTGCACACCTCTGCCAGTTACCTTACCCTGCTGCACCATGCACTACCACCACCAACCGCAAGCTGCACTGCACCTTCGCCCTCTCCATTCCATTGCCCCCCTCCCTCCCCACCTCTATTTCTTTTCCCCCCCACTCCCCTTTCACCCTCCCCCTCCCCATCCCGTCCCATCACCCCCCAGCTAATGACCTGTGTGGCGCAGGTGCGAGTGGTGGAAGGGCGGGTGTTCTTCCGCTATGGCTCCTTCCTGGAAGACGAGAGGAAGCTTCTGAGAATCAACCTGGCGGTGAAGATGATTCATGAAGCCGTGGTCACGTTTGAGCTGCAGAGTGAGTCCTTGGTATTTGTGTGCTCATGATTGTTTCCTTTTTGCCTTCTTGTGAGTCGCGTTTGATAACTCTCTTGTGTTTTATATCCCCTTGAACTGCCCTTGAACTGCCCTTTAACTGCCCTTGAACTGCCCTTGAACTGCCCTTGAACTGCCCTTGAACTGCCCTTGAACTTCACTGCCCTTCCCCTTGTCTCCCCCTCCCCCCTCTTCGCCCCCCTCTCCCCCCTCACGCCCCCTTTCCTTCCCTGCGAGCAGAGCTCTATCTCAACGCGTGCGACGACCCGCACAGCTACGACAACTCACCTTTGTTCCTCGACTAACCCCCTCCCCTCTCCCACTGCCTCTTCCCCATCTTTCCCTTTCCTTCCCTCGCCTCTCCTATTGCCCCAGCCCTGCGGGCAGAGCTCTATTTGAACGCGTGTGACGACCCACACAGCTACGACAATTCACTCTCATCGGGTCGTTCGGGCTTTGCAGTGCTGAGCTCCCAGTGGACGCCCGGCGTGACGGACATTCTCTTCCCCGACCCCCTTGACCTCGCGTACCAGCCCTCCTACTCGCCCCGTGCGGGGCAAGTAGGAGAGGCACGGCAGGAGCGGCAGGGGTTGGAGCCGTTGCCGATATGGGAGCGGGTGAGTGCGTGTGGGAGATTGAGAGTGGTATGGATGGTAGTTGTCAAACCTGCACCTCAAACCTGCACCTCAAACCTGACGTCAAGCAGGAACGTGTTGTGGCTTGGTTTTCCTCCCACATGTTTCCCATCTGCATCGTTTCCCCCGTTCTCCCTCCCCCTGCATGACCAGCGGCAGAGCAAGGCGGTATGGCGGGGCAGGGCGTTGTTGCTGGTATGAAAAGAGGCAAGCTGGGCGAGCAGCCTGAGAGTGCGCCTGCAGCGCCTGCAGCGCTTGTCAGACGTGCCTTGGTCTCCTCAGCCCCTGTATGTCCCCCCTGCCTCTCTCTCTTTCTTATCCCCTGTAAGCAGCGCAAGAGCAAGGCGGAGTGGAGGGGCAGGGCGTTGGAGCTGGTATTGAAGGAGGCCAACTGGGCCACGAGCCTGAGAGTGCGCCTCCACCGCATGTCAGACGCCCGCCCTGACCTTCTGGACGCACGGCTCACCATGTGGGGCGACAAGGATGGTGTTGACGCCAAGAAGCTGCTGCTCAGGTGGGGAGGGGGTTGGACGGAGGGGGGGTGGGGGGGTTCAGGAGAGGGAGGGTCCTAATGGGGAAAGAACGTTCCCTTGGGACGTCTCGTGTCAGTGTAAGGTAGTTTTGCCCCATCTCCTGCCCGCTTCCCTTACCCCCCTCCCATAGGCATGGTGTGGTGCTGGCAGAGGAGGTGGATGACGTGGCAGAGAAGAGAGGATTGAGGGGGTACAAGTACGTGCTCGTGGTGGACAAGCAATTTATAGTCGAATAGAAAACCACATGAAAGAAGTGACTATCTGAGATTCAAGATTTCACTTCTTTCACATTACTGATATTCTCTTCCCCCCCTTCCCAGGCACGGTGTGGTGCTGGCAGAGGAACTGGATGACGTGGCAGGGAGGAGAGACTACAAGTACGTGCTGGTGGTGGACGAGCAGATCGGCACGCGTGACATGTGTCGCGCTCTCAGTGGCCCGCAGGCCGTCATCCGTCACGCGTCAGGTTACACGGAGTTCTTTGACCCGCTGCTGCTGCCAGGCGTGCACTATGCACCCGTGGGGCACAGGTCAGTGGGGTGGAGTGTGATAATGTGGGGTGCGATTATGTGGGGTGCGATTATGTGGGGTGCGATTATGTGGGGTGCGATTATGTGGGGTGCGATTATGTGGGGTGCGATTATGTGGGGTGCAATTATGTGGGGTGCGATTATGTGGGGTGCGATTATGTGGGGTGCGATTTTGTGGGGTGCGATAATGTGGTGAGCGTCACGCATGTGTGGTGCACATGGTGTATGGGCTTCCATGCTGCCATGCTGCATGGATCTTCTTGACTCGCTGCTGCTGCCGGGTGTGCACCATGCGCCCGTGGTGGGGCGTGCACCATGCTCCCGTGCTGCACAGGTGAGTGGAGTAGGATGCTGTGCGGTGCGCATGGTGTGTGTATGGAGTTCCATGCTCTCATGCTGCATGGAGCTTTTTGACCTGCTGCTGCTTCCAGGCGTGCACCATGCACCGGTGGTGCACAGGTGAGTGGGGTGCATGCACCTATGTGCCCAGAGGCATGTGTGGGTGACATGGGTCTGCTGCTGCTGACACGGGAGTGCTGCTGCTAGCAGCAAACACTCTACTCTCCCTAAGGCAGATGGTGTGCAATGCCAACGAGCTCACAGCGCATGGAATAACTCTCTAACCTTTCCCCTCCCCCCCTCCCCCTCCCCCCAGTTTCCGGGACCTATTCAGTGTGATAGAGTGGATGCAGCGCAACGATGCTGCTGTCCGCACCATGGTGCGCAACGCCAATGAGCTCGCAGCGCTCGTCTGCACGTGGCACTCGCGCGTGCACTTCTGGGCGGTACTCCTCGCCAAATACTCCTCCCGCGCCCTCGAGAACCCCGCTGCTGTGGTTGCCCCCACGCCGTGCCGCGGCGGCCGCGCCAGGGTTAGTTCCCAGTGGGCGAATTCGACTGTTTCTGGGGCTTGTAAAGTGGATCGGAGTGTAGATGAAGCGGGGGCGTCGTGGAGTGAGTTGGCGAAGGCTGCTGGGGAGAGAGGTGCTAGTGCGTTGTTGGAGGTTTTGGGTATTGATGGGAGCGGTATGGAGGAAATGGGAGATGATAATCTGGATAGGTGTAGTGATTTTTGTGTAAGTGGGGTGCCCGAGGATCAATGGGTATGGCTGGATGCGGAGGAGAGCTTGAGGGACGTCTACCCGCATGATCCCATTGGCCGGTCTTTGCATCTTTATGATCGATGATGTCATCTCATGTTGCCAAAAGGGCTTCTATTTAGTAGGCATTTCCGTAGCTCCGTTAAATTGCGCAGGAGTGTTGGCAAATTATGGATGTCATTGCATCAGAATGTTGCCACTCATATGTACTATACAACCCCTGCCCGTGGTAAAAGCATATTTTACGCTCTGGTGTTGATGTTAGCCCTAGCGCGTACAAGCAGTCAATTTACAGAGGCGATGCGGTAACTTCCAAGCGTATCGCGTTTGGCACGCGCTCAACTCCTTGACCAGTTTCGGATGGCTGGGAGTAGACCCGCAAATTCTTCGCTCCTCAAACTTTTTTGTGCCCGACGTGTGATGTGTGAATTGCAATTGGAATTGCAGCTTGTAGTCTCCACCAAGTCGCGCGGCCTTCATTCCCTCCACCTGCTCCAAACCTGCCATTCTACACCAAACCATCTGCAAAATGATATCGCGGGAAGACAGACCCACTACACTTGTCCGATTGGCAAACCTTTTTGGGCCAATTGGGTTGCACCTTCAACACGAAGTTGGAGTTTTGTCTTTGGTCGTCTCTCCAGCAAGTGTCAAGAGGGGCTAGTGTCATGACACCAACTCGAAAACACATGGAGGACTATCCCTCCTGGTGTCAGCTAAACCAACCAATGAGATCGCGGGAAATCGTCCAATGTGCCCAACATTGACACCAGGCTGGAGCCGCGCTCACACGCGGCTCCACTTGGTGTCAGCCGTAAACAGCGCTTGACACCAAGCCTTTCTTGACACTTGCTGGAGAGACGACCTTTGTGTAACGCGTTCCAAATTCCCAACAAGCAGGGCAAACAGTCCGTACCTCGAGGTGTGGTATGGAATGGCGTTGATGAAGGTTCGGTTCCGAGCGCGCACCGTCAATTGCCCTTACCGATCCTATCCAGCGCCCAGAGTCTCTTCCACTGGTCGGTTCGGCTGGACGATTATCGCCTCGCCACACGCAGCACACAGAAATTCAATGTTTTTTTTCCAAGCTTGCCCCTTGTAGCGCGCTGGTGCGGGGATAGTCGCATGCAACTAGTTGCAGCCAGCGCGGTGTGTGCTTCATGGTTGGGCATTATTTGGGGTCGATAGGGAGCAGGTCGAGGAAGTCGCCACCATTGTTGGTAGAAAAGCGAAAAGCGCCGCAGTTGGCGCCTGCTCTGCTTCTCTCAACTCGACTCAACTCCCTTGTCTCGCCAATCTCCCGCTCGAACTCCATGAGCTGCTCTTTCTAAAGAAATGGTCGGGAGGACTAGTGAACACGACGTGTGATAAGCCATAGAACGCCAAATCTGGCAGCAACTCTTTGTATTGCGCCTCGTACAACGGCCAACAGTCAACAGACCGTAGCCATGGCCCTTGTTGAACTCGACTCTTCCGAAGTCGACCTGCACAGCACGTCCCCATTATCTCTCCCCCTGACTCTCGCCGTTCCTATCCTGAGCTACAGCCTCTGGTTATCCACTCAGCCTCGTGCCAAGCCTTCCCTTCAGCTTCGAGATTTCTTGCAAGAGCTCGCCGAGGCCTCGCCGCCGTCGATTCGGCAAGGATCCTGCGGTACGGAGGAGAGCGAATGTGAAGCTCTGGTACCGCCTGAGACGCAGCTATTCGATGAGTCTCAACGAGGAACTTACCTTCCTGCCGTCAGTGAGTCGTATCGAGAAAATACTACGAAACTTACTGCAGTGGGTGATGAGATCGTCACGTGTAAACAGACGACGCGCGATTCTATCGAGACATCGGGCAACGGGGATGTATGGGAGGGAGAGGACGCGCAGTGTGGTACTGCGCGCTCTTCATGCGACAGTAAGAGCTCGTGCGATAGCGAGCGATCGTGCGACAGCGACGACCTGTCAAGCGACGACGAATCGTCAAGCAGCGACGGTTCGTGCAGTGGATTCTCGTCCTTTGGGAGCGAAGATTCGTTCGAAACTTCCAATTCTTCCGAAGAAGGCAGCGCATTGGCTGCCGAACCGCCGAGCGGCGCCCTGGCTCAACAAAACGACGATGACTCGTTCAAACCTGCGTTGACTCTCGAAGACGACATAACCTTCCGCGCCACGTGGCCTTTCGGGCCGTACAGGTTCCCGCCGGTGTCGCCGGCACGTGCGAGAGAGTCGCTCAGCAAGTCGCCCAACAGCAAGGGGCAGCGGGTTCGGTGGTGCGACGAAGAGGACGGCGGGTCGCTTGTCGATGTTCGCGAATTTGAGCGAAGGTACGTCGCCCAGTGCTGTAACCATACACGCGTTCTGCCAGTCCTTCCCCTCTCCTCCCCCCTCTTCCCCCATCTCCTTTCTCCGCTCTCTCTTCCCCTGCATTTGCATTGCGCGCGGTGGAATGCGAGGGCATTCCCCCAATCTCGCGCCCTCCCCCCACCGACTTCTGCCCCTTCTCCCACCCTCCTTCTCCCGTCCTTGCCCCCATCCCCCTGCCTCCCCCTCTCCCTCTGCATTGCGCGCAGCGACGTGGAGTGGGAGGATATTCGCCTGCCGCCCAGGCGACGCAGATACGACGTGTCCAACGAGGATGACGTGTGCGGATGCGCGCTGCAGTGATGACGTGTGCGGATACACGGGGGGAAGGGGGAGGGGAAAGGGCCGAGGGGGAGGAGGAGGAGGAGGAGGGAACGGAAAAGGGGGGGAAAGAGAGGAGCGAGGAGAGTGGAGAGGGCGGTGGAGATCAAAGCTTCACCTAGCCTTTCGAGTGGCAGCGCATGTGATGGGTGGCGGGGGGTGTTAGGTAGAGGGCAAGAGCAGGGGACGTGGCAGAAGAAGCAAGAGCAGAGAGGAAACAGGGGTTGAAGGAGCGTAGCATGAGAGGGCGGGTGGAGAGATGTTTTCGTCCCCTACTTCTACACTAGAGCTTCACTCAATCCTATCCAGGGGTACAAGGGGAACCTGAGAGGTTGGACATAAGGCACGGCTCGGCACGCGTGCATGAAGTGATTGTTGAGTTGTGCGCTCAGAGAGAGGGCGATGGGAACTGGTGCTGCAGACAAGGCAGCAGACAGTGGGTGGCCTGAACCGTGTCCTGGGTTCAGAACCCTTCATGTCTCTTTGCGGTCCTAGGGGGTCTGATGCAATGGAAATAACGTAATCGATGTGATCGCTGTTGTTTTAGGAGTGATCTGGTGGGTGTTATGTAGGTGGGATGAGATCTGGTGCTTGCTGCTGGGGTGCAGTGCAATGGTAACAGGTGGTCGTTCCTGAGCCATGCCTTATGCCTCAATGCAACGTGTGCAGTGCAGTCATCAAGAGAACCGCCAATTACAGTACTTGCATTGCAATGCAATTCCGTAGATTGAATATTGGGATTCCATGTCCACCACATGCCTCCTACATCACCACATGCCTCCTGCATCACCACATGCCTCCTGCATCACCACATGCCTCCTGCATCACCACATGCCTCCTGCATCACCACGTGCCTCCTGCATCACCACATCCCTCCTGCATCACCACATGCCTCCTGCATCACCACATGCCTCCTGCATCACCACATGCCTCCTGCATCACCACATGCCTCCTGCATCACCACATGCCTCCTGCATCACCACTGCTTTGCACAGTACTGGGTGAATCTAAAGGCTCTCCCAGGGGAACAGACAAGTATGGACAGTTACAAAACCCATAAAGCTAGGTGTATTGTCACCTACTGTTTTTATTCCAAATGTTCACCATCTAAACCCCCCAAGCAAGCTACACTAAACAGTGACCACCGCAATCACAACCCATGGTCAGCATCCCATCAATTATGAAATTATAGGCGCACCGGCATCACCCATGCCCAGCTTCTCCATCCCTGCATCCACCATCTCACCGCCCTGCACCTCAGGCAACTCCTCCGCACCCAGGTCAAACTCGGGGTACTCCTTCTTGAGCACCGTCCTCGCGACAAACTCCATGCCCGCACCCGCCACCATCCCCGCAACAGAAAACCCGAGAGCCATGAGGAACGGAGGGTAGTCGTACGCAGATAGAAACACCTGGTAGAGCGAATCGCAGTATGACATGTCGTGTTTCACCGAGTAGATTTGCGTCCAGATGAAGAGAGAAGCGATCCCAGACAGGCAGCCAAAGCCCACGGAGAACGGCGTGACGACCCAGCGGGACCATTTCCCGGGGATCACACCCGCCATCACGGGGATGACGGATGTGGTGGTGAGGAGGTTGGCTAGCAGGAAGAGCTGGAGAACGCTGTAGCCCTTGAGGGCCACGACGAGCGGAGGGATGTTGAAGAGAAGCACGATGGCCCGCACCGCCCAGATGCCCTTGGCTTCGAATACTGACATGAAGGCTGTCTTTGCCACTGCAGCCTGTACTGTGTCGGAGGAGACGGAGAGGAAGAAGTCGATGATTGCGAGGAAGGTGGTGGTGAGCGTGTCGGCAATGGCGTTCTGCAGCGAGTCGACTGCGGACTCGGACATGACGACGGCGAGCACGGTGGTAATGACCAGGATCCACGTGGTGTCGTTGAAGAGAGAGAAGAGGATGGTGTTGGTGTTGGTGAAATCCTCGTTCGGCTGCCACACCCCGCCCCAAACGGCGAGTAAACCTGGTGTATGGGGTGGAGGGGCCGGAGGGGGGATGCAGGGGTGTGGAGTGGTTGAAGAAAGGGAAGGAAATGGTGGTGGTGTTGGTGAAGCCCTCGCTGGGCTGCCACACGCCTCCCCACACCGCCGGTAGGCCTGTTGGTGGGGTTGTAAGGGGAAGGCAGGGGTGTGGTAGAGTGGTTGATGAGGAGAACGGGGAAAACGCGGGGATGGGAGCAAGGGCACCAGGGAGAAAGGAGGCAGACATGGGTCAACCACCCATCCTACCCATGTGGGCCCGTGTGGCGTTGAGGAACGTCCATCCCTGTTGGGCTGCCACACGGCCCCACACGGCCCCACACGGCCCCACATGGCCAGTAAGCCTTAGTCTAGAAGATTGGTGGTTTGAGAAGGGAATCGGAGTGCAGGAGAGCAAGGGGTGGGCAAGGCAACAGCAAGC